TACCCCTCGCCTCGCACGCAGCGCCTGTGGCGGCGAGAGCGGCCGCACCTTCCTCCTCGGCCGCTGGGCCCGCCTCCTCCCCGCCCCCGCCGCCCAGCCCAGCCCAGCCCACCCCCTCCATCCCCCGTCCTCCCATCCCCCCCCCCCCCCCAGAAGTCCCCCCGCCCCCCCCGGCCCGCGCCGGCCCGCGCCCATCCCCCGCGGCGCCCACCGCGCCAGACCCCGGACCCCGCAGCCGGCTCCCGGGGCGGCGCTCCCGCCCGCGTCCCCCGCCGTAGCCTCCTGCGCTTTCTTTCTAGGACTTCCCAACTAACCAACACCGAGAACTCCACGAGCTTCGAGTAAGCGCCTACCATGAGCTCGGCGCTCTGCCTGCCATCGTGGGTGCGGTGCGTAAGGTCCAGTGCCTTCCCCAAAGAGCTGAGAGTGGGAAGACGCTTACCCGGGTACCACTAAGGACAGAAGCAGGCGGAATCTGAAGCCTCGTGCAGGCAGGAGAGACTGTTCGCCCCCTAACCTTCGTGAGAAGGGAGAGAGGGAGGAGCCGGAGGGTCCGGGAGAATTCGGACTTCCCAGGTGGAAGCTGCAGGGTTTATTAGAGAAACCTGGGGAATCCAGAGGGCCCGGATGATGGGGAGGGGAGGACGCTCGGGAGAAGCGGGAGTGAGGGCTGTGTTCCCACCCTCGCTGTCCCTGCCTTTACAAAGGCTCTCGCGTAGAGAGGAGCGGGAAGGGGGAAGAGTTCGTGTGCTGGTGTGGGTCCCGCAAGGAGGAGGCGCCAAGACAGAACTAGATACGGAAGAATTTTCTTAGGGGAAATGGCTGTGGGATTAAACGCCAGGGGCTTCCAGAGAGCCAGGCTTCGCGCGAGTCTGATCCCAGTGAAGGAGAGAGGGAAGCAACATCCCAACCTCCCTGCAGCCTCAGGAAGATCATGGGTGCGTCCTACACCCAGAGTTACCCATCATAGGGGGCCCAATTCTCCTCGGTACCCACCTGCCTGAGCATCCGTGTCTCTACCAGCCCTTAGCTGGGAGCAGCCAGATGAGAAGTGTGGCCTTGGGCACAAACCCAGAGGTGAATTTCAGAGCACACCAGCCAGGGCCCTTCCTCAGTTAAACTCCCAGAAAGCTGGAGATGGTTGGAGATCTTCCAGGAAGATTCCCACAGCTGGCGATTCCCCAGTCTACAAGACACATGGAATCAACTTTCCCACACACACCTAACAATTTTTAAGTGAAGCCCCAAGGGTTTGCTGTGTTCAGACAGACCTGGCTCTCCACTTTCTACTGCCACAGGCTCTGGCCACACTGACCCCTCTCCACTACATAGGCTCTCCCTGGTCCTGTCTCCACTCGGGCACACGTGGCAGTGCCTCGGGGAATGCCTCCCACTCCACTCACCCTCCAGTTCCCAATTCAAGCATCACCTCCTCTAAGGAGCTTTTTCCCCTTAGCACAGAGCTACCACCCTAGGATCTTCTTTATATGTTTTTCACCCTTGCTTCTTGTATCATGTTTTTTCATGCTGTTTCACAACGTTATGTTTTTGTTTTTGTTTTTTCTGATTATACAAGTAACACGTTCATTGCACAACTTGGGACATATAATCCAAATGTCTCCAATTCCTCCAGTCTTCAAGGGACACCTTCCCTTGATAGATAAGTAATCAGAGTCTGAGCCCCACCCATGTGTATCAGTCTGGATCCAATCAGAAGAGAGAAACCACACAGCAATTAAGTGGTAAAAGTTTAATAGAAAGAATTATTAACTACGACAGGATTTGGAGCAATGAGGGATTGACTGGTTAGAAGTAAAGAGAATGCAAAAGAAAATAGGAACAGCAGATACAAAGACTTTTAAAGCAGCCACTACCCCTGGGGCCGAGATAGAGCACCCAAGGGTAAGGGTGCTCCCTTATCCCTCCCCTACCCCAGGCTCAGACCCAGACCTTGTTGGGGAGAGCATGGCTAAGGTTCACTAAGTGCCAGGGAAGTCACTGTGGTATCACACCAGTGGAACTTGCTGGAAATCTACCCTCTAGGGTGTGGGGAAAGTGGTATAGAGGGAGATGTCTCATGGAAGCAGTTCGCTGCAAAACCACCCAGAAAGAGAGGCGCCAGAAGAAGCCGGTGGCCACGGGGTGCTGCCCTGCACTGCGGGATCCTGGTGCTGGAGAAACCCCTCAAAATGCAGGAGCCACAGGCAAGCGAGGCAACTGGCAGGCAGAGTTCTGCCCTCCTGCAAGTTCTCCCCACACCCTGTACTGACAAAGCTAACAACGAGGCAGCTGGCAAGGGAAATGACATAAAAGGCTGAGATCCCTTTTTACAGAGATGGCAAAAAGGATGAATTTGGAGCTGACCGGCAGTGAGTCAGTGACAGGCATGCTGTGCAACCTCAGAAGAGTCCAGGCGTTGTCCAGTTTCCCCTCCCCAACTATGCCTGCCCGGTACTTACGGTCTTCTCTCCAAATCTCGCCCTGCTGGCCCTTCTTCCCTCCGCTGGCCTTTTTGTTCCTGACTCCCACTCCCTCGGCCGCAAGTTGCCTCTTAGCATTTTCTCCTCCAGTTTTGCCCCAAGGGGGAGGCGTGGCCTCTTCCTTGCCTCGCTTCTCACAGCACGCTAAGACCAAGTTGTGAGGTCACAGTTCACATCGGATTGAACAGACGTCTTGGGGAAACGGAAGGGAATTACAGAAGGGGAAAAGAAAAAAGCAAAAACCAAATAATGGTCCCAAAGAGACGAAACCATCCAGAGCCTCTCTCTCCTTAGTCCAAGCCCCATCCAGGGCGCCAGTGTGTACCCCCGACCAGAGTCCAGGCCGCAGTGCCATCCGGGCCTAGCGAGGGAGAGAAAAAGTGTCTCCATGCTTTTAGTGCCGCTAAATAATAAAATAAAAAATAAATATGGAGTGTCTCCATAATCTTAGTGCCGCTCCATTAAATAAAAATAACCTGCGGAGATGAAGCTCTGTCTACAGTCAAGATGAACATTCGCATGATTAGGAAGTGAAATTAGCCCCAATACTGAAACTCGTTCAGTTATTAATCCATTTATGGAGCCTTTACTCGGCACCTGGCACTGTACCAGGCAGTAGGGATATAAGCTGTGTCACCGTTACGATCTGAGGGCGACAGATAGTAAACAAATCATTTTACAAATAGTTCTGTTTGTGTCTCTGCTAAAGATGCAGCGCATATAATGAGAGTTAAGCTAGCTCTAAGGGATTAGAGGGGGCCCAGCTGAGCTCTGAAGGATGATTGAGTTGGATCGATCATTCCAAGTAAAGGGAATGGTGAATCTGAAGCTCTGAGGTGCGACAGAGCTGGGCCCATTGGAAAGGAAGGGAGTAAGGACAGAGCAGCCAGAGATGAGGCCAAAGAAGCAGAGAAGAGTCAGTCACGCATGCTTTTGTTGGCATGTTAAGAATTTTGGATATTATCCTTTGAACAATAAGAACCTTCTGAAAGGTTTTAAGCACCAGTGTAGCTGGGGGGCTGGGGGCTGGAGAAGAGACTGGAGGGTATATTTGGGAGGGGTATGCAGAGAATATACAAGACTAGTGTTCAGAACAGAGTTTGAACCTGGAGATGAAGATAGAGAAATAACCAGCCCGGAGCAATCCAGTCTAACCCAGGGCCTGGCTGAGATGCCTGCGGGAAAGACTGGGAAAGAGACAGAACTCTCGCGAGATGGGGTCGAATCAGCAAAGAAAGCTGAGGGGGAAGAGCCAGGGAGCTGGGGGACCATCAGGAAGTTACGCTGGGTCACCTTCACTATAAAGCAGGATCGCTTCCCTGTAGAATAACCAAAGGCCCAATTAAAGCAAACCTACTCTCAAAGATAAACTCAAATCTCCACCCCTGGCAAAGACCAGAACAGCCTGTTTTTAAAAGAGGCGGCCCCAGGGTCCTCACCATCCACTCACTTCATAGCCACCAAAACTCTTAAGCTACAGTATCCTACTATTCACCAAAAAGTTAAATATTAGCTGTAACCCCACTCCCTAGAAATAACCATTCTGTCATATTCTCTTGCAGACTCTTCATACTTAAATTACTCAGATCTAAATTCCTTGCAGTAAGGGATCAGCCCAATTCATCCGTTTATCCCCAGTAACTTCGTACATTTTCTGGCACCTAGAGGGTATCTAGCAATGTTAGCAGAATTGAAATTCATTTCCAAAATCCTTCCAGTGCTGGGCAGGATTTCGTTGGACTTTCTGGTAGTAGGACACTTCAAAAAACAAGCCATCCTTCCTCTGTACTATGTCAGAAAGAGTTTTCTTAAAACACCTTTCTAGTTTTTGGAAGTTTTTTGTTTGTTTTGGAAGTTGTGGGGGGTTTTGTTCCCTTTTCTCTTTCCCAAAACCTAAGGAAAGAGAATCTTCTTGCCAAGTAAACTCTCTGCCTCAGCCCGGGCCCCGCCAGAAATGACATTAGAACACACACACACACACACACACACACACACACACACACACACACACACACACAGTGGAATACCAGTCAAGAATGACTGTATTTAAAAGGAAACGAAATTGAGTTATTTGTAGTAAGGTGGATGGACCTAGAGTCTGTCATACAGAGTGAAGTAAGTCAGAAAGAGAAAGACGAATACCGTATGCTAACACATATATATGGAATCTAAGGAAAAAAATGTCATGAAGAACCTAGGGGTAAGACGGGAATAAAGACACAGACCCACTAGAGAATGGACTTGAGGATACGGGGAGGGGGAAGGGTGAGCTGTGACAAGTGAGAGAGTGGCATGGACATATATACACTACCAAACATAAAATAGATAGCTAGTGGGAAGCAGCCGCATAGCACAGGGAGATCAGCTCGGTGCTTTGTGACCGCCTGGAGGGGTGGGATAGGGAGGGTGGGAGGGAGACGCAAGAGGGAAGAGATATGGGAACATAGGTATATGTATAACTGATTCACTTTGTTATAAAGCAGAAACTAACACACCATTGTAAAGCAATTATACTCCAATAAAGATGTTAAAAAAAAAATGACTGCATTTAATACCTGTCTCCACGGAGCTCAAATTCACTTTTACAGCTTGTTTGGGGGCAAGAAGGAGGATCCCAGCGCTGGTTACTTCCACTAAGTGCTTTCCTATTACTTCAGGCCCCGAACTAACAGGCTCCATGCAGCCTCCCTCCCAGTGCCCCAGGATCCAGTAAACAGACAAAGACCACACTGACTCCAGCCCAGCGTCTCCCCAGTGTAGGCAGGCATCTCTGCCAGTGGGTCAGGCTAACTTTGGAGAAGTCAGAGGATAGCCTTTTCAAGGGAGGCTGCATCTCTCCTTTCTGAAGATCATTGGCGGAAAACAAACGGTTCTTTTAGCGGCTGTTTCAGGAGCTTGCTCCATCTACTTCACGGCACTTTTCAAAGTCCTGAAAGAAAGAAGGCAGTGGGCCTGATTACAATTCCAAAAAGCTGCGTTTAACCCAACAGTCTGGATGCACCCTGCACTGCCTGCAAACCATTTGCACGTGTGTATGATGTATAGTGGGAGGCCAGGCGGTACACCTGCTCGCAGGGGTGATGGGTCTTGCTTTCTCTTGGATTCCTTTGACCCATTTTTCCTTTCTGCTGACAAGTTACTAGAAGCTAACTGATATATTCTTGAAAGAAAAATGAAAAACAAAAGGTCGCCTGGGCTTCCCTGGTGGCGCAGCGGTTGAGAGTCCGCCTGCCGATGCAGGGGACGCGGGTTTGTGCCCCGGTCCGGGAAGATCCCACATGCCGCAGAGCGGCTGGGCTCGTGAGCCATGGCCGCTGAGCCTGCGCGTCCGGAGCCTGTGCTCCACAAGGGGAGAGGCCACAACAGTGAGAGGCCCGCGCGTACCGGAAAAAAAAAAAAAAAAAAAGGTCGCCTGATAGGATTACTACCCCATGATAAAAGGTCTATGTTTGTTTAGAAGATTGCTCAAGATTCCAGGTCTAAAAATCTCATTTAATCCCACAGAGACTCTCTCTTGGCCAGGGCTGATCCTGTCTCTACTCCATCCCTGAGCTGGAAAGCATCTCCCCACATCTCCCAAGAGGAAACAGAGGTCCTCAGTGCTCCCTGGGAAGTATGCTACGCATATTTGTGAGTGAACTTTGAGTGCATCAGCCCAAGTTACCAATGCACTGGTCTGGCTCCTGCGTAACCCATATGCAGACACCCTCCAACACCCAGTGAAAGACTTTTAACCTTGGGCTTCACTCTCAAAAGGCATATCCTTGAAAAAAAATGCCCGTGACATTGATTGTTCTAAGTTGCTAAAACTCATGTGATTTTAAGTTTGTTTCATTTTTCATAATTTATAAATAAACTAAGTCTGATAAACATATCTGAACATGTAAAAGTTAATATTTTCTGAATCAAAATAAAGTACCAATTATAATGCTTATAATACTTTAAAGATGTCCAGTCAGTTCTTGCTAGCCAGCTGGTTACACAGCCAGCCTTACGTTTCACTGGAGCCCTCAGCCTAGGAAATGTGTTTACTGAACCCATAAACTTTCCATGAAATGCAAAACGTACACAATAGGAGCAAGTCTTTTCTCTCAAGTTTCCCTTTATGTCCCTGAGTTCCACTGTTTCAATTCCCTTGTGCCATTAAACTAGTTCTTGGACTTTGTTGCGGGTTCTCTGGTTGGACTCTTCCTGAATTCCTTGTACTTCCTCCCAGCCCTGTTCACTCTGTTGGGTCATTTCCCCTCCCCCCTCAACGTCACAGTCTTCCTCACTCTCTGTTCTATCACTGCTGCTGCTTATTATTATTGAAAGTATTGGGGTTTGGGATTTGCATGTGACAGTTCTAAGTGGGTCGGAAAGGAGGAAAAACAGATCAACTTCTGCTCGTGGGCAAAAATAATTTAAACCACATCTGAAGCTCAGGGTGGTTGGCGTGGAGCCATCTGATGTATGGATAAGATCCTTCACAAGGGAAGTGAGTTTTGAACTTAAATGACCCAGAGAATGGACTTCCGCCAGGATATTAGAACTAGCAGCTTTCTCCTCGTAAGTAGAGCTATGAAATCCATTTAGGCATACCAGAGTGTAGTGAGAATGAATCATATTAACTGTTATGTACATCCTCTAAAAGTTATAATTTGGTGATGATATGTCATTTGTGGGTTTCAGTTTCAAAGCTGGGGGATTAAATGAGCTGAAACCTGACCTTGAGTTCAGATTTCTTCTTGGTCCGGTACATCTCAACAGAAAGGAAAAGAAAGTCTTAGGATGCCCTATAACAATTATAGTAAATATTCATCAAATACATACTATAGATCACAAACTTACATATATATGAAATAAACATATTTGCATGTCAGTACCTATAGATTTACTTGATTCTTTTAACAGCTTCATTCTATTGCATTTTTAAAAAGAAATTTACAAACTTTGGTGATAGAATGGGGAAATCGTGTCATGCAGGAAAAAAAACCCTGCTTTTTAAACTCTGTATCTTGCACATTATATAAATACTTAGTGAATTAACAGATATGTAAATTAATAAATCTTTATTGTCTTAAGTTAGAGTGATAATACCTTGACCTCGTGGCTACTGTTTGCTATTTCACCCTCACTTTCTCATTAGAAGCTTTCAATAAGCCACAAGCTTTAAAATCCACACTCCAGGCTTTTAAATTGATACAGTTTTCAATAGGACTATATATAACCTTTCTATAAGAGGTTAGGTTTGTATCTTTACACTGTAAAGAGCAAGTTTCCATAAAAAAATTTTTTAAATCACTTTGGCTTTGAAATGTTCTCTTCTAGATTTTAAAACTACCATCAACATCTGTAGTGGTTCCCCAAAGTTACAGGATTAATGAAATCTTTCTGCCCGCCACTTTTCCCTGCTATTGTGTCAAGAGTTTTGAAAATATTTCTATTTTACCATTTTTTAAAGGAAAAGAAAGAAAGAAAAGAAACATAATTGTTGTCTACTCTTTATGCCTCTGGAATAATCTGCATTCTTCCTCACCTCCACCTTCCATCCCCTTCTCCCAACGAGGGATGGGGAACTCTGTTTGCATATTTTCTTTTTATTCCATGTCATTGTAATGAGAGTCTCAGCGAGCATACTTTCCCTTGTGGAATTCACTAATAAAAACAGACAGCCAGTTTTAAACAAGCAGCCCCGAGAACAGGAGACAAGCAGAAGCTGGGTGCAGGAAGCTGCTTTGCTTCTTACCTCTAGCCTCACAGATTGCCTTTTTCATCATATGCTCTTAGCCCGCAGGGCCGTAAGAGAATTTATAAAGCAATTTTGGATCCTTTGAAATAAAGGGACCCAATTTGTCACAAGCTTTTGACAATTTCTTTGTTCAAGCATTGATACAATTTCCTACAGCAAGAGGATATTATCAATTTGTGCAGAGTCCTACCTGGACCTGAAATTCAACTGAGAAAGGGACCCTCCCCGATGACTCTCATTAACCAGCAGTGCTCCCATTGCTACCTGCTTGCACAGAAACCCGAAGGCACTCCAGGTTTACCTACTGCAGGAGGAAGTGGTTGAGAAATCCATCTTCTTTTCACTGTGATGAGGTCATGAGAAACAAGCCATCCCGAGGAAGTGCTCGAGGTGCTTCTGTGTCTCCCCAGCATCATCCCAGGGGCAAGCTGAACAGAGGGGTGATTGACAGGCAGCGGTGGAGACCTGCTGTTAGCGCATCCGTCTACCAGCTCCTGTAAAAATGGGCCCAGGAACAAGCAATAAGTCTAAGAGTCACCCAAGTGCTTCACAGCCTCACGGCCCACCACCCTCGGCCCCTTCCCTGCCTGCTACCCCCAAAGAAAGTTACATTTTGTCCCTATTTCATTTCCAATCCAACACGATTCCATTAAAAAAAAAACTTACTAGGGGGGCAACACCCCCCCCCCCCCCCCAAAAAAAAAATCCAGAGGATGATTCCACGCTACCCTGACTCCCGGCCCTGGAGGTGTGGCCTCTATCCACCCACCTCGCCACTGTGATGCCTCCCCAGATGAACTCCTCCTCTATCCCACCTCCTGCCTCAGTCAGTAGCATCCCTATTTCCCAAGCTGCTGGGAGCCGCCTTTGACCTCTCCTGACCTTCACTCCCACAACCATCTGGTCTCCAGTCTTCACCTTGTTACCTCCTAGACAGTTTCCAATCCTCTCTTCCCGTCCACCACCACACCCAGCAGTGCTGCCCAAAGAGTTGCAGCCAACTCCCAGTAATGCTCTCACGCTTCAGGACCCGGCAGAAATGGCATCTGTCTGAGCATCATCTAGCAGCCGTCTGGGTGGAACCAGCTCTATGCTTCCCACGCATGAGACCTCTTGTTCCCTCACCCTTGCCCCCTCCCCAATGGGACAGTGGACCTTGGTTGGGGAGGGCCGGTCAGAGGTGTCCTGGTAAGTGGCCAGGGACTTGGAACATCCCAGGCACTACGGGCCCTAGCTCCACAGGGGGATATCTGTTTCCTCAGCGGAGCTGTGTTGAACTCTCGCTGCGTACACACCTTTTGCAAAGCCCAGTTCAGTGATGTGGCAACTAAACGCTTTGCCCTCGGGGGCAAGAATCTCCTCTTTTTTTTTCCTTCTGTCACGTTAGATTCCTCTGTTAATATGTCTAACATAACTGGGTTCTGAAAATCTCCTTTCTCCTCTCCTCTGTCATCCGGGAGCTGGGGACCAATAACCGCCTCACCGTCTCAGGCTCCTCGGCTTCTTCCCCTGCGGTTGGAGATAAAGAAGGCTGTCAGAACTCTTCAGGGATGCCAACTCTTGCCCTCACCCTCTGCCTGCCAGAAGATGGTACATGGTCCACAGAGGCTCCCCTTCCCTAAAAATTCAATCCACTTCCTTTTTTGGCCAGATCGCCCTCCATCATCCCAGATGTGGTCACACTGAAAACGTCCACAAAGCTCTGACTGGCAGACATTTTCAAGGAAAGTGGATAGAGACATAATGGGAGGAGAAGCGTCCCCTTCTTACACTAGCCTGGCGACCCCAGGAAATGACTTACCCCTCCGCGTCGCCGTCGCCTCCTGTGTAAAATGAGGATAATAATAGGTTTTACCTGACGGAATCGTAGGGGGATCAAACGAGTCTGTATTTGTAAAGCACACAGTAAGCTCTATCTAAGTGTTTCACAAGCTAAAAACAGCTGCGGGATTTCTCTTATCCTGATGCTTCCTTTTACTTCAGTATATTTTCAAACAGGAAAAATACACAATAAGTGGCACAGTGTGGGCGCTGCCCAGCGTTGGGGGTCTTGACTGCTCTTTGACGCACCGATGTCTGAATTCATGTTAATACAGCCCTGGCCACTCTGTGGAACAACACAGATGATGTTAGCACAAAACCAGCACTGCATGAAGAAACCCAACCACGCACTAACCTGACGGGAGAAAAGTCACAGATTGATGATATACTAACGTTTTTTGAGCAGTTGCTCTGCGCCAAGCAATAGCATCAGGGCTCTAGCTAATTTACTTCACTTGCATCTTGTAACCACCTAATGAGGTAGGTAACACTATTAGCCCATTTCACAGATGAGCCATAACTTGGGGTTTAAAAAGGAGAAGCAGCCTGCCATGGTCACAGAGCTAGTGGTCAGCTGACCCAGAGTAGATGGGCCTCACCACCAATCATATGGGGGAAGACAGGACTCTTTGTTTTATTAATGAACTCCTTTCTATTTTGAAAATATAGTGCATGCTTTCTAAGTTAATTGTCATCATAACAACATGGACGCTCATCGAATATTGCCTGTTGATGATTATGATGACCTCGCGCTCAGCCACACTGGGAAGCTGGCCACGGCCTTCCTTGTTCCTTCCTCACCTCTCCCCTAGGCCCAGGACAGAAATCACACAACAAAAATCTGCCAGCTGTTGCTAAGAGCTTAAGCTGTGAGCTGAACTTTCTTGGGAGATATTTGTGCTTTAACTGTAAAACGGATGACGCCTTCAAGAAGCACAGGAGTGATGCCACACGATGGATCTCAGACACCTGTACAAGCAATCTGACCGAGGAGGCCTCCCCGGAGCCCTTCAGTCACCCCAACAGATTGACCCTGATGGTACACGTTTGTATGAGAAAACACTGTAACTGTCACTAATTCCCTTCCTGGTGAGACCTTGACCTGTTTGTTTTGGTTGTTGCTTTTGTTGGTTTGTTTTACTGCAAAGTATACTTGGTTGTAAACTGTATCTGTTTCCTCAGTTGGTGCGATTTCTGACTTGAGCCAGTTCAGGCTAGCTTCATGACACAAGAACCAGGAGAGCAGATAAACTCGGGGAACTGCTACATGGAGAGAAGCACATCAGGGTCGCCCAGATGCAAAGGTGACATGAAAGGTTACCCTTGTAAGGAATATAATACGAGCTCAATGCCTGAGTTAGCATAAAATGTGGGGACAGGTACAGAAATCTAATTGTCTTTCCTTTTCCATAATTGGTCTCAACTTAAGTTCATCAGCCCCCATTTCCAGTTTGTAGTTGTACTCGTTTGCTAAGGCTGCCCTAAAAAATGTCCACAAACTGGGTGGCTTTAAACAACAGAAACTTATTGTCTCGTAGTCCTGGAGGCCAGAAGTCTGAAATCAGAGCGTCTGCAGGACCATGGTCTCTGCGAAGGCTCGAGGGGAGAATCTGTTCCATGCCTCTCTAGTAGCTTCTGGTGGTTGCCTGTAATCCTCGGACTTCCTGGGCTTGTAGGAACATCACTCCCATCTCTGCCTCTGTCGTCATGTGGAATCTCCCATTGGGTCTCTCGCTTCTTTTTCTTCTTGTTTTTAATGATTTGGTTTTTTTGTTTGTTTTTCGGTTTTCTTTTCTTTTTTTTTTTTTTTTTTGCCTGCACAATACAGCTTGTGGGACCTTAGTTCCCGGATCAGGGATTGAACCTGGGCCCTTGGCAATGAGAGCACAGAGTGCTAACAACTGCACCACCAGGGAATTCCCTCTTCTCCTCTTCTTTTTTTTTTTTTTTTTTAATTTATTTCTTTATGCGTTGGGTCTTTGTTGCTGTGCATGGGCTTTCTCTAGTTGCAACGAGAGGGGACTACTCTTCGTTGCAGTGCACGGGCTTCTCGTTGTGGTGGCTTCTCTTATTGCAGAGCACAGGCTCTAGGTGCGTGGACTTCAGTAGTTGTGGCACGCGGGTTCAGAAATTGTGGCTCGCGGGCTCTAGAGCGCAGGCTCAGTAGTTGTGGCGCACGGGCTTAGTTGCTCCGCGGCATGTGGGCTCTTCCTGGACCGGGGCTCAAACCCGTGTCCTCTGCATTGGCAGGCGGATTCTTAACCACTGTGCCACCAGGGAAGCCCTCTTCTCCTCTTCTTAAAGGGACACCAGGGCTTCCCTGGTGGTGCAGTGGTTAAGAGTCCGCCTGCCAAGGCAGGGGACGCGGGTTCATGCCCCGGTCCGGGAAGATCCCAAGTACCGCAGAGCGGCTGGGCCCGTGAGCCATGGCCGCTGAGCCTGCGCATCTGGAGCCTGTGCTCCGCGACAGGAGAGGCCACAGCAGTGAGAGGCCCGCATACGGCAAAAAAAAAAAAAAAAAAAAAAAAAAAAAAAAAGGGACACCAGTCATATTGGATTAGGGCCTACCCTGATGACTTCATCTCAGCCTGATTACCTCTGCAAAGACCATGTTTCCAATAAGGTCACATTTACAGGTACCAGGCCTTCAACATATCTTTTGAGGAGACGTGATTCAATCCAGAACAGTTGTGGAAAAAGAAATCTCACCCCCAAAGAAATTCAGTCCCTTCCGGCTTAAAAATCTAATCTCTTTCTGATATTTAGTTTTCCTCAGTTCCTGATCTCTTTTCTTCTTCTCTCTAGACGTAAGTAAGTTCCAGGAGGAGGCTGGGTGTGGGTCAGGCCAGTGCTCTCGAGAAGCAGGGCCAAGCCAGCCTGGGTGAGGGATGCGCTTGGCAGACTTGCCCCAGTCCTCTCCGAGTCTGTCTTGCCTGGACCTGGGCATCGACCTTGGTCTTCGTAGCAAACACTGCCATCACCCGTCCCACCATGGACTTCCATCAATAGGACTCCACAGACTGTGTCCTCCTTCTCTCAACTGGGAGGCCTCCCCCCGTCTGCCGGGCTATTTTCAGCCCAGCTCTGTGCTTTGCTTTGAGGAATAGACAGGTTTTGGAAGTCCCCTTCCACCGCACTTGGGGCCCTTGGGCACACAGGACTTGAGAGCTGTCCTCTGGCTGTCAGTCTAGCTTTTTATTTTTCTTTTTCAGTTCACTGCTCCACTAGATGGGGGCTTCCCAAAGTTTCTGTGGGCTAAACCGGAGGGACACGCTTGGGGATCCCCAAGCTTTTCTCTGGTTTATTTTTTGCCCATCCCCAGGGACAAGGCCCAAGGGTCAGAGGGCAGAACCCCACACAGCATTTCTCATCCTGCCTTTATCCCAACTTCACACCAGCTCAGTCCCAGCCCAGGAAAGGTGTTTCTCTGCTCTGTGTGTGCAGATGGCCCTTAAGATATCAGACATGCTTCTCTATTCTACAGTTTTCCTTGGAAATGCCCCAAACCAACAGTTTCTTTTTTTTTTTTTAATTTCTTGGCCACACCCTGCAGCGTGTGGGATCTTACTTCCCTGACCAGGGATTGAACCCATGCCCCCTACAGTGGAAGCGTGGAGTCTTAACCACTGGACCGCCAGGGAGGTCCCCCCCCCCACCTTCTTTTTTTTTTTTTTTTAAACCAACAGTCTCATTCTTGACGTTTTGCTTCTGGAGATAAAGGAACAGCTTATATTAGACTAACCCTTCTGATGCAAACAGCTAGCAGGAAATCCAGATGAGCACACACTCACATGCTTGGGAGTCATCAAAGAGCTACCCAGACACTGAAGTCTTAGACCAAAATCCCTGAGAAAAGGGAATTTTGGAGAGAGGAGCACAATGTCTGGATTCCTTTTCCCCTTGAGGCATTTTCCACTCACTAAGCTGCCAGGACAGCCAGAGAGAATATATCTGTTGTGATAAGGATCCCATAAAGGTCCGCTATCCAGAATATATATAAACGTTGATGAATCAATTAATTAAAAAAAAAAGTAAAAGTCGGACTTCCCTGGTGGCGCAGTAGTTAAAAATCTGCCTGCCAATGTAGGGAACAGGGGTTCGATTCCTGGTCTGGGAAGATCCCACGTGCCGCGGAGCAACGAAGCCCGTGCGCCACAACTACTGAGCCTGCGCTCTAGAGCCCGTGCTACGCAACAAGAGAAGCCACCTAAATGAGAAGCCCGCGCCCCACAACGAAAAGTAGCCCCTGCTCGCTGCAACTAGAGAAAGCCCACGGGCAGCAACGAAGACCCAACATAGCCAAAAATAAATAAATGAATAAATAAATTTATATTAAAAATTCATTGCAATTAAAAAATACGCAAAAGATTGGACGTTTACTACACAATAGAAGATATTTAAAGCTAATAAACACTCGAAAAGATGCTCCACCTCACGCATAAGGCCACAAAGAGACCCCATTACGTACCCTCCAAATGGCTAAAATTAAAAAGACGATAATATCGGGCTTCCCTGGTGGCGCAGTGGTTGAGAGTCTGCCTGCCGATGCAGGGGACACGGGTTTGTGCCCCGGTCCGCGAAGATCCCACATGCTGCGGAGCGGCTGGGCCCGTGAGCCATGGCCGCTGAGCCTGCGCGTCCGGAGCCTGTGCTCCGCAACGGGAGTGGTCACAGCAGTGAGAGCCCCGCGTACCGCAAAAAAAAAAAAAAAAAACAATAATATCAAGTGTCAGCAAGGACATGTGTGAGTCTCATAAATTGCCGGTGGGAGCGTAAATTCATACAAACACTTTGGAAAAACTTTTTGACAATAACCACAAAAACAATAGCTGCAATGACCCAGCAATTTTCCCCCAGTCTATACACCTAACGGAAATGCACTTAGAGTGTGCACAGTGTGGGTGTAAGAATGTAGCATCATTACTTGTATGAAATAGACCAAATGAGAAACAATTCAAATGTCCCTCAACAGTAGAATGGATAAATCAAGTGTGGTATATTTATATTATGGAATACTGTACAGCATAGTAAATTAATCAACTCATGTATGAATCTTACAAACGTGATGTTGAGAGAAAGAAGGCAGACATAAATTAATAGGTACTAGGTGGTTCCAATTATATAAAGTTCAAAAATAGGTGAAACTAATTTACCGTGTAGGAGTCAGGAGAGTGGTTACCTTGGTGACTGTGAAGGGCAGGGAGAAGGGAGGAGTTCTGGGAATGTTCTATTTCTTGAACTGGACTGTGGTTCCACAGGTGTGTTTATTTGCGTAAACCCACAAAA